TGCTATAATATAATCTTTATTTTCAAATATTATCAAAAAAAAATTTATTTAAATATATTAAAATTTAAAAAAAGTAGTTCATAACCATATTTATGATAATTTTTTAGACAAATTTGTCTGGAAAAGCCTACAGTTTAAGAAATAATAATATTTTTTTAAAAACATTACTATAATATTATAATTACTAGTAAATAACTAGTTGTTAATTAGTTATTAACTAATAATTATAATATTTTAATAATGTTTTTTTAGAAAAACATTTTTATAACATTATAACTACTAGTTATAAACTCATAATAAACTAATTTTCTAAAAAAAATATTTTAACTATATTTTAAAAATATAATTTGCTAGTTATAAATCTAACATCAATTTTTTACAAGTTTTTGTAAAGTATAAACAACAAGTGGGCTATACCTTTAGATCAAGCTTTTAGTAAACTTCTTCATACTTTCGACATCTAAACCAAAAGGATATTTTGAGAGCAATGTTACTGTGAATCTCTGAACAAGAATATCAAGTAGAAACTGAGGAACTAGACTATACAACTGTAACTCTTATAAGAAGAATCTTATATACTCTTATTGGGCTATTACTTTTTTTCAAGAATTTTTTGTAAAAAGTAAGTGTTTTAGTTTACTCTCTCCAAATGATTAATATCATGTATACCAAAACAGTCAGTATTGTTTACTTTCTAAATTGGTATAACAGGACAACAAACATGTGCCTTAAATATAACAAACTAATAAACAATACTCCGAGACTAGAATCAAGTACTGACCCTCTATATTATATTGTCAAAGAAGTATTTTTCTATTGGTTTTGAGCTTCTATATACTATTTAGATAAATTTAGAGTAGTGACTATTTTATTTAGTAGTATGTAATTTTTACAAGTCTTTCACAGGCTTATAATAGTAATTATTAGAATAGACAATTTTTTTTTATTTTTTTTGATACTTTCTTACCTTTATTTCTTTCTTCTTGTTTGTTTCTTTTATCATATCTTCTTTATCTCTGTTTTATTTTTTCTTTTGTGTTTGTGTTTTTGTTAATTTGGCTTTTTTGATGAAGTGATATAGCTGCTAGAGCTAAAGATCAGAGGATTCATATCCTTAGTAAGTTGAGGATCTAATATGAAACTAATTGCTACTAAATAGGTCATTCTTTAAATTTAATTTGAGTTGATCTTTACTCGTATGAAATATAATATAGAAAATTTTATTGCCCTGTTGATATAAGTTCTTGTACTTCCAAATAAAAAGTAATAGGCAAGACCACTAAATTAAAAAATATAAGATAATGCTATAAAATAATACTATAAAATAAAGCTATAATACTACAAACTATTATACAATGATGTAAATTATTGTAATAATACTATATACTACTATTTAAATCATTAGGGCTGTGACAGATATTACAAAATATTCATTTACTATAAGGGTACCCTCCTTCCACATAAGACGATAACTCTGATTGGTCGACAAAATAAATATAATGCAGATCTGTAAAGATATATAACCTTAGCAAATTTTATGATATCTCGTGATCCAGTGATCGAAATTTGATATTTTGGTACTATTCGATCTGTCTCAATAAGATGGATTGAATGGTACCAAAATCATTGAGTTTCGACCACTGGATCACAAGATAATTGCATTTAAATAATTTTTATAAATATCTAAATAACTTGTCAACTAGTGGTCCAAATTTAACAATTTTAGTACTATTCGATTCCTTTCGATAAGATGATTCGAATGGTGCCAAAATCATTAAAATTAAATTACTAGTTCACAAGATATTCACAAAAAATATTTTGTAGCGCAGTTCTTTACAAAACCAAATTTCTTTATAAATATATAAAACCGTGCTGCAAACTGTTTTTTGTAAATTTTCATGAACCAATGATTTAATTTTAACTATTTTGGTATCATTTGAATCGTCTCATCAAGAAAAATCAAATGGTACCAAAATTATTAACTTTGAACCACTAGTTGACAAGTTATTTAGATATTTATAAAAATTATTTAAATGCAATTATCTCGTGATTCAGTGGTCGAAACTTACTATAAATTGCCAAAAATAAGTACCCCTTTTTAATATATAGGGTGTATCTATTTTCGGGTAAGGATTTTCACCAAAAATTTTTGAAAATGTCTGATCACATATATTTTAGCATAGTGGGTTTTTATTCTGGTTGGCTAATTTTTGTAGATCATTTTATAATTTTACAAGATCTGATTGGCTAATAGACTTATACTAAAACAAACTCAAAATAAAATATTTCACAAAATATAATAGTATTAATTAAATAAAAGATATATTTATTTAAATTTTAATAATTACAATAACTTATTACTTTTGTCTAAAAGTCATTGTCATATACTGTATATAATTCGATTAGATTTTTTTAAAAAAAATATCGATATCTTAAATTTTAAATTTTAACAAACGTTTATAAAGAGCTTGTACCAAAACTAATTGCTACAATAAATAATAACAAAAAATAATTAAATTAATATACTATAAATAAATTTAAAAAAATAGCAAACAATTGCAAGTAAAAAGTATGCAAAACTAAAACCTATCTTCTAATAGTTTTGACAAATTTTATAGGTTTAATTAGATTTAAGATTACAAAAGCTAGACCCAGTTTTAACTTCTATCAATATTATAATTTACAGGCTTCATCTAACAAATATAATATAAACATTATTAATCTTGAGAACAAACTCACTTACTGGAGATCTAACTACAAAAAAAGCTATTTCTTTTGTTTTAGAGATTCTTATATAGTATAAGTAACAACTGAATTAAAACAAACACCCTATAGCAAACCCTCATGATTATTCCTCTGTTTTTATGATTATTTTAACAGTATATAGAGCGAAAGGTGTAGTTTCTGAATATGTAATCGAGTTTCCCTAGACAATTCATTTTTGTGGCAGATAATTCGTTTAAGATCAGATGATATATGCGGTCACCAGTAGGATTTTGCAAGTGCCAGAACAGATACCACAATTACTTTATATAGAATAAAAGTCAATTAATACTAATGCTAACTCATAGAAATTAATCCTTATTTCAGTATATATATAATAGTAATAGTTACTCTTAAGTATATAGTCTTATTCTTTGGCATATTATCTCTATACAAAGAGATTCTAGGTCATTATTTAAATCAATTTAAGAAATTTATTTTCAATATGTCACTAGTTTATTATTATTTCTATATAGAGAAATTGAGGTTTTAAAATTTCTTGCACCATACTATTTAAACATAGTATTAGATACTATTTCGAATAGTACGTATCTGGTACTTGCAGAATCCTAATCACTAGAGATAGAAAAAAAGTGTCTGGGTAGTGCTTGACATCTACTGAAATAAAATATTTAAAGTGGCACTTAAAGTTTGAGCACTCTAAAAAAAATATTTGTTTTAAAGTTATAAGTGCTAAAAAGCAAGCTCTATTAATTTCTTTTAAAACTACCCTTCTGAATCACTTAAAATTGCTATTTTAAACTATTTCTTTTAATAATTGCTAACTTGCCGCCTGGTTAATATAACCACCCTTTTATTATAATTCAAGAATAGCTTAAATAATTATGTTTAATATACTAAACAAAAAAAAATATATTTAATACTATAAAAAACTTTATTTTAATCTTAACTTTAACCCAAACTCTAATTCAAATTCTACTTTAAATTTAAGCAAAAATTAAGGTTGGTTAAAAGTTTATAATTTAACCAGAAATTAAAGTTAGCTAAATTCAAAAAAAAATAAAAATAAAAAAAAAGGAAGTCTTAAGATTACCAGTATTTAAGATTATGCAATAATATTATAAGAAGCCATATAAAGCTAATTGCGAATATTAAAGATTGATCAAAACATGTCTACAAAACGTAAAAGTTATACAGTTAAACAAAAACTTGAAATTATTTCAAAAGCAAAAGAAACATCTAATAAAGCAGTAGCGTAAATATTTGGTGTTAATCATTCTCAAGTATCCAGATGGTGAAAACAAGAAAAAAAGTTAGAAGAAGCTGTACATTCATGTAGAAGTATCGGTTCTGAAAAGAAAACTGTATATCCTCTTGCAGAGAAGATGTTAAATAAATAGGTTATTCAATTACGACAAGATGGTCTTGCAGTAATATTGTCTACAATAAAGCTTAAAATAAAAGAGCTTCTTAGAGCTAGGTTTTAACAAGACTACCCTAATGCTTTAGAAACTTTCAAAGCTTCAAATTCTTGGTGCCAGAGATTTATAAACTGATATAACCTTGTGCTTTGATACTATACTAAAGTTGAGCAGAAACTTCCTCATGAATTATCTGAACAATTAGATCGGTTTTATGAATTTATCAAAAAGTCGCAATGTATAAATAACTATGAGTTATCCTGTATAGCAAACATGGATGAAACATCCATTTACTTTGATATGGTTGGCAATCTTACTGTAGATTACTGTTTAGCAAAAACAGTTCAAATAAAAACTACAGGTAGGGTTAGGCAAACTTTGTATATAATAGTTATATCCTGTGTAGTTGGGTATAAAGAGAATTTTGCAGTAAGTATAATCGGCCACATAAGTGACCAATTATACTCACTGCAAAATTTCCTTTATACTCAACTACACAGGATATATTATAGTTTAACTTACACTAAGACACTTATTATAACTTACATGTAACTCACATAAGAAATTTTAAACTTACAAAAAATTCCCAACCCTAACTATAGACAATAAAAAAAAACCGGTTCATGTGTGTTCTGCAATCTTGGCTGATTGAGTTAAACTCCCCTCATGGTAATTTTTAAAGACAAAAGACTTCCCCAAGGTCTGTTTTTCTTGGGTATCATTATTAAAATGCAAGAAAATAGGTGGATAGACGAAACTTTAATGAATGAATGGTTAGATGAAATTTGAAAAAAAAAAATTTCAACTTGTAAACAAAAACGTAGCTTATTAGTGATAGATTCTTTTGAAGGACATTTTATTAACTCTTTTAAAGCAAAATGTAATGAAATGAATACAATAAGAGACATAATTTCTGGTGAACTTACTTCGTTAGTTTAGCCACTAGATGTGTGCATCAACAAACTGTTCAAGAACCGAATGCGAGAAAAATGGCAAAACTAGATAGCACTTGGTGGTTTTGATTTTACAAAAGGAGAAAATTTAAAAAAACCTCCATATAATCTTATTTGTCAATAGATAGTTGAGGCATGGGCCGATATTCTAGCTGATATGATCATTAATTCATTTAAAAAATGTAGTATTCCTCACGGTATTAAAACAGAATCAGAGAAACAAATGGTAATTTCAGTAGATGATGAAGAAAATTACCCGATTGTCTATATTGAAAATCTGTCTGAGTACTGGTTAGTAATTAAAAAAAAAAAACAAAAAAAAAAACAAAACAAACCTAAATCTAAACTAACTACTTAATTAGGATTAGATAGTTATACAAGCCAACACATATTTAGTAACAAATAATCCATACAGATTTAAATTACTTCTTCGTATATCCAGAGATAGTTTTACTAAAGATTCAATTTGAAATTTATGCAATAAGCGTGAAAGTTAATGATACTAATGAAATCCTCAGTGATTATAAGATAGTAAATATCTTTACTATAGTTTATTTATTAAAAATTACAAATACTGATAGCATATAAAGTCTTGGTGAATTAGAATTGTGATTCTACAATATAATGCAAAACTATAATGCAAAACTATAATAAAGCTATTGAATTTGCTTAATACAAATATTTGAAGACCGAATTGATTGAAAATTTTATTTATATAATTATCTAACAAAGGTATAAAAGCCTATTTTAATTTTTACAACTCAGAAGCGATAAACCAATTATGCAATTCATACAATTTAATTTTATTGTATTGTTAATACTTAATACCAGCAATTTCACATCATATAAATAATTAAATCAAATTTTATAAATTATTATATGACAGGGTGAAACCCGCGCAGAAATAATTACATTATTGATACAAATCCCAACTAAAATAATAACTAACTCTAATTAAGTATAGATCTGTATCAAGAAAGTTATCACCTTTGTGCGGATTTCACCTTTTTATATTATTATCATTTATTTTTAATAATTATCTGAATTGATAAAATCTACCCATACAATAGAACTCGTAATTTATGCGTGTGGTATATATATTAGATTTACTGATGATTATGAAAGACAACAAAATAGAAAACAAACCTGAAAGCTCTGATGGAAAAAATGCCAGAAATAGTGAATAAAAAAAAGTATTGAAATATTATCAAAAATCAGTGGAGATGGCTCATGCTGATGAAATGCATATAGATGAATATTGTTATGAGAGCAGAAAAGGAATAAACCAAGACATAAAAAATCTATAGGTACATATAATTCGATTATTGATATCTTAAATTTTAAATTTTAATGATCTATTAGATATGTATAAAGAACTTTGTATCAAACTAAATTGCTAACAATAAATAATAACAAGAAACATAAAGCTATACAAAATTAATTTTTTGTTTCTTATAATATAAAATTTTAAAAATAACTTGGCCGGCCAGCTTTTATTTTTTAAAAATTTTTTAAAAAAAAATTTAAAAAAAAAAAATTTAAAATCCCACCTAACCATTAAAATATATAAAAAAATTTCTAAAATTTCCAAAATTTGATCTGGCCAGGTTAGAAAAAACAATTGAATTTGTATAGTCTAATAATTAAATTAATATACTATAAATAAATTAAAAAGAATATAAATAACTGCAAATAAAAAGTATATGAAACTCAAACCTATATTCTAATAGTTTTGACAAGTTTTTTAGTTTTACTTATTAGATTGAAGATTATAAAAGTTAAACCCAGTTTTGACTTTTATCAATATTAAAATCTACAGGCTTTGTCTAACAAATATAATCTAAATATACTATCAATCTTGAAAACAAATTCGCTTACTAGAGATCTAACTACAAAAAAAAACTATTTCTTTTGTTTTAGAGATTCTTATATAATATAAGTAACAACTGAATTTAAAAAAATGCTCTATAGCCGACCTTCATAAATATTCTCTATTGTTATAATTATTTTAATAGCATATAGAGCGAAAGGTATATTTAGTTCTTCTGGATAATTCATTTAAAGTCAGATTATATCTGTGGTATATATATGAATAAATTCTAGTAATTGACCAATTACAGATGATCTCAGCTAGAGGGTATTTATTTTTGAAGGTTAATGATTATTATAAGGTATGCTTATTTTCAGGGGGTGCTTATTTTCAGTGATTTACAGTAATGATTTTGGTACTATTTAATTTGTCTCATTGAGACAAATCGAATAGTACCAAAATCATCAAGATTTAATTACTGGATCACAAGATATCATAAAATTTGCTAAAATTACAAACCTTTGCAGATCTGCATTATATTTATTTTGCCAATATTATATTATATATATAATTATATATATTATATATGTATAATGTAAGACTTTGGCTTACCCCCTACCTCCTAAGATATTATGTAATATCTGTCACAGCCCTTATTATACAATAATAATACTAAAAATAGATAAAATAATACTATTCTACAATTAATACTATATAATACTATAATAATACTATAAAATAATACTATATAATATAGTTATAAATCATTATACTATAATATTTAAAATTAGTAATAAAGCCAAATAATTATTAATATATTGATCTAAAATATCCTAGAGAACTATTTGTGTTTGTATACTTTTGTGTAGTTTTAGTTCAAATTCTGTTATATTAAATGAACTAATAATTAAATAATAAAACTAATATTGTTTTAAATAGAATTCTGTAAAAAGTATACTAATAAAATATGTAATAAACTATTATAAAAATGTCTAAAATAAATAAAATATATTATAAATTATATAATAAACTAATAAAATAATAAATATATCATAATAATATAAAATATATAATAAAATTTAAGAAAAATATTAATAAAAAAATAGGTATATATATATATATCTAAAGATATATATATCTGCATTATGTGATATATATAATTGGTTTAATACTACTATATATATATTGTATAACTAGATAGACTAATTATATACTACTAGACTAAATTTTATATTGAGTTTTATAACTGATATCACGTAATCATGTTAATAGAATATCTAAAAAAAAACTAAAAATTATCTAACACTAATTAAAAACTAATCCTATCCCAAACAACCTTTACTCTAACCCAAACTAACAAACTAACTCTATTCTAAACAACCTTTACTCTAATCCAAACTAATATTTACTCTAATTCGAACTAACTCTTACTCTAACTTTTATCTTAACCTAAACTAATCTAAGCTAAAGATCAAATAATATAACTATACTATTACTTAAAATTGTAGTCAAAAAGATAGATAATCTATTTTGCTCAATATATTATCTAATCAGATAATAAATTTATACACTTTATATAACTTGACATGATGTACTATTATATTAGTTTTCGGTAGAGATACAAATTAACTTATGCTTATTATTATTAATCTGGCTAATTTGAATCTCTAATTCTAGAACAATAACTTTTGCTAAATATAGTAAATTACTATATTGGTAAGATTACATTTTGTAGAACTTATTTTATAATATTATTTGCAAAGTATTTAATATTTATCTGTTATGAGCTGTTATGTATTCAAACTAATATAATAAAAATATCAATTCATATATATGGTAATAGCAAGTAATGATAATATACTGAGTTGTATGTAGCTAAGCAAAATTGATTTTGTTTAAATATATCAGTTACCCAATTTGTTACAAATTTTACATATAGAGGTTTTTATATATATAAAATTATAAAAAAAATATATAGAATTACTTATAAACTTTGAAGCCGAGATGTTTCTTCCTTTACATATTAACTTTAAATTAAATTTTACAAATAAATACATCAAGAAGAGAAAAATAAAATATTTTCAAAGCTAAATTAAAATTTTGCAAGTTTTGTATAATTTAAAAATATAACCCTGCCAAAAGAAAAAATTTAATAGTTTTAAAATAATAATTATATGTAAAATTATATTTTAAACAACTCCAATTAGGAAGTCAAA